AAGCTGCACCAATGCAGGACTTGGTTACGTGCTCCGCCTTAACATGGACCTAAACCGTGTTGTGCGAAAGTGGGCTTGCGGGCCAAGGCATGGCGTGGCGATGTATTTGCGCAGTGGAGTAGATGCGATGGAACGGGGTTTGGGCGGGAGGTAGGAGTCAAGGTGGATGAGGCTGAAGACTCTGTAGACGTATAAAGAGGTCTTCCAACTGCTCTCAAGTTACACATCCACTGCAACAATATTGGATACTTCTCAGACTTCGGAGCATAGCTTGACCCACCAATCGGATCACCAGTCTTCAAGATGAAGTTCAGTTCCACCATCGCTCTTGCGGCCCTCACGCTGCTCAACACCGTTCGCAGTGATGGTACGATTGTCCTGTAAGACAAAACTTCCAGCAGCTAACATGCCTCAGCTGTACCATGGGAGCGCATCGACAAGGACAAGGCGGTGAGTCTTCTTCATACTCTCCAACCCCATATCCCCATCTAACGTCCCAACGTAGCTCCTCCTCATCCTTGACTTACAAGTCGGCCTCTTCCAGCTAGCCAGAGACTGGGACCCAACCCTCTACAAGCAAAACATCCTGGCGCACGCCGAACTTGGGAAAGTCTTTGATATACCTGTCATTTTGAGCACGTCTGCGGACCAAGGTCCCAATGGACCGTTGCCGAAGGAGATGCTGGAGATGTATCCTGATGCGCCGCTTATCCGGCGTCAGGGCGAGGTCAGGTGAGTCGTCTTTCTCATCGTTATCACTATACCTTGCGTCAACATACCACAATATCTGCCTCTCAGCAAACACCTCTCCTAACACATCCCCAGCGCCTGGGACAACGAAGCCTTCCGCGCCGCTATCCGCGCCACAAACCGCACGCAAATCATCGTCGGCGGCATCACAACCGACGTCTGCACCACCTTCCTCGCCCTCGCCCTGCGCTCAGAAGGCTACTCCGTCTTCGCCAACGTCGAAGCCAGCGGCACCTACACGCAGCTCGTGCGCGACACGGCGAACGCGCGCATGCAGGCCGCGGGCGTGCAGCTCGTTTCTCTCTTCTCCATTGTATGCGACCTCATGCGGGATTGGCGCAATACGCCCGGTGCGAAAGAGCTGCTGCCGTACTTGGACAAGTATTTGCCGGTTTATGGGGCGGTGGCGAGGGGACATGCGGCGGCCGTGGAGAATGGGACGGTTATTCCGGGGGAGATCGAGCTTATTACGGGGGAGAACGGGACGGTTCTGTTGTAGACGGTTGCGGGGGGTTGGGCGGTTGACGATGCGCGGGAAGGCGGAAGATACTGGTAGGTAGCGAGTAGGAGGGTTTGGTGGAGAGGTACATGATGGCTGGTGGAGGGGACTGCGTGCAATGTTGATAGTAATGTCAACTGCGTAAGAGCGATGAAGTTACAGCTCTTTGTTGATCGTGTGGGTGTTCATGACGCTTTTGGCTGGTCAACATTGATACGGCAGCTCTTGGCGAGACCAAGGGCAAGCCGACGCGAAGCCACCTCGGCATCTGAGAGCCCATCCGTCACTGTCTTCCCCAACACCAAGAGATGTGACCATACACACCTCACTTTACAGAACTCACCGTCGCGTCGCCATCCACCGCGGCATGCTTTACAGTGCGAGCAATGCTGAGCCTGGAGACAAGCTGCCTATACTGCCACACGCCGTGCAACCGCTGCCTTCAGATCCTACAATACGACTTTCGAGCTATGCATTCCATATAAGTACATGATACACGGGTAATATGAACAAGGGCCCTTCGTGGAGAGTAAATTCCAAGGTAGGAGCGATATGGCTTATGGGACGCCTTTGACATGCTTCTTGGCTTGGTATATGTCGGTCTTGCCTGATTCACAAATGGAGTCAACTTCGACCGAAGCACAGTACTCGTTGCCTCGAAGGTGTCTAAGCGGTCGCTATCTGCACCCTTGTGCTTGCACTTACCTTCGCTCAACCTATAGTTCTCTTGACACTATCAATAGACGCCCCCGATCCTTACCACGAACAGCCATCGCTATCATTCCATCCGTCATTTACCTGTAAAGGCCGATCATGTCCCTCTCCAGAAACCACTCATTCCCGCCGGTAATCAGTGCACGACATGATGCGACCGAATACATACCAGATTTACCTCCCTCGCTCGCTGTATGGCTCATGCTACGTACCAAAAACGTCAGCAAAATCGGTTTAGCGGGATTCGACAAACGCTGCATAGTCTGCGAGCAGTTTGTGTGCAATTTCTGGACCGAAGCATGCGACCACAGAGTGAGGTGGCTCACGAAAGAAGCGGCGAAAGAAGGACTGGCAACGTTGACACCGCAGCCATATCTCCGACGACGGCTTTCAGAAGACTTCGTCGAACGATCGGTCCTTGCACAGCAGCGCCCAAGCCTCCCACTGTCAACGAAGTGCCTATCACCAAACCCAGATGTATCGAGTATAAGCGCGCAGCTTGCACAAACCCAAACCTTCGTTCCTTTCCAAACCCGTAACACAACGGAACCCATACCACCGAAATATTGCAGATGGGATAAATCCGGTGTACACACATGCTCTAGTCCCACTGGCAGCTGTAAAATCGCAGTCAAGATCCTCACGCGCGGATGTCGGCATATCATCGGTCAAGACTGTCTCTATCGATGGATCATAGCAGGAAAGAACTGGTGCCGGTTTTGCGGTGTGGTTTGGTTCAAGGAAGAGAAGTCTAAGATCACGAGAATGGCGCTATTAAATGAGTGTTTTCGGGGTAGGGCGGATTATGTCGAGCACTTGGGCGCCATATGTGGGAAAGAAGAGTTCCAACAACTTGCGACACAGTGTGGAACCATGGGAGAAGGCGAGTGGAAAAGTATCCTTACTAGAGAGCTGGAGCGGATAATACTGGGGCAGTGTGGACTCCAGAAGGATATGGACTCTATGAAAAAAGAGATACTGAGGATGGATCCGAGCTTTGTGGATACTTGGGATGAGCTGATAGAGGACCTTGAGAAACAGTGCTGCAGCGACGCGATAGCACCTTGGACCGTCAATGAGAACTCACCGGCACCGTGGGACCCATACCAAAATCCGAGCGCGCGCAAAGGAATCCATATTCCTCATCACAAATGTCGTTAGATTCTCTCAGCGACAGCTGCCAGTCTGAGCATTCACCGCGATACCACGTTCCCATAGAGACAATCGTTCCGTCGCTAAGACACTCAAGAATCTGACCATTTCCACTCTCATGACCCACTTCTTCCGTGATCCTCGTTCAAGAGACATCCAACATGGAATTCAGCGATATGATATCAACCGCGGTTATACAGACCCACCATTGTGAAACAGCACATGCAGCAACCCTGATCTCTATCACTCACAAGCTTTCCGCGGCATTTCTTAGCACATGGAGATCCGTTTCGGAAGCTCAAGCCAGGCGTTTCGTGAGAAAAAGGTAATTCACAACTCCAACTGTTTGGCCTTCCGCCCCGCTGTCGCGCAAGAGTTGCTGTATGCTTAAGTAGCGGCGCGCGGAGGGAACGCCGTGTTCGATAGTCCACGGTATCTGACATGACAGCTAGGACTCTCAAACTCTAGACAAACAGCTGTACGAGCAACACAAACGCGACCGGAAGTTGAGTCGGTGTCTCGTACCACCTCACGAAACTGTCCGGTCCAGAGCCCTCCAGAGCGCTCGCGCTTCCAATTACCAAGACCAGAAAGGACCCGCGTACTATACGATGTATTGCCAGTACCTGCTTGGCGACGAGAAAAAGAAAGAATATTAATAGCTCAAGCCGTGGGGAAGGACCGAGAGATGTTTGTCTTCGTTCTGGTTCTAGCCTCAGGTACGACTCGGAAGGATGCCGAGGAGAGAAGGAAAAATAGATGTGCTATGGCTGGAAGAGGGTTGGTGTACTGGATGTGGACGTCCGTGTGTCGAGAGTAACGTTTCGCAGTCCGTTTTCGAGGGTGGAGCCCCCTGTCTGTGAGTGCGGTACCCGGAGTGAGGTCCGCATCATGGCAGAGGACGGAAGTTGCAAACGAGTGAAGTCATCGCTGGAGTGCGCAAGACAATCAGAAACTGAGATGAACACCATCTCTAGCATCATCCATTGAACGAAGCAAAAGTGACGATGGTCGTCTGTGGGGACGCCGCTAGTCACAACGCGGTTCCCAGCTGCGCCTCCAGCAGCCAGTGCACCAATGACCTTTGCAATCTAACCCACACTTTCCACCAAACACTAACCTCCCATCAGCTCACCCATCTTACCTTAATGTGCTCACAGACAACCCGCCGTTCACCTACTGCACACACGAGCGCTCATCTCGGCTAAAGCTACAGCAAAAAGGCGCAGCGCAGCGCGCACCCCGGCGTGACCGCTGACTCTAGAACCCGGTCTCTGCTTCCCGCTTAGACCCCGGCGAGATGCTACTGTGCGAAACGGCCGGCTGTGGTGTGGGCGTAGCTGATACAACAGCTGCGCTGAACACAGAATGGGCAGAGGCGGGGGATAATTTTCGCATATAGACTGGGCTGCTGCTGCGCGCATTTGGGACTTTATCTGTTCACCATTTCAAGTAATCTAATCAATCCCATCGACTGTTCGCTATCGCATAGCATTGCATAGCATCATCATCCTTCATAAGCACCACCAACACCACACTCCCCTACCCATCTACCACCTTATCTCCATCAGCCCATTACATCAGGCCGCCAGATTACCACCCAACTTGACGCACCAGCAATTCCACTGCTTATCATCTACCACATCGCTTACCTAGGTGTCAAGGCCCAGTCCTTGGTAGGTATGTCATCTTGGAAAAAGTATGCCCGAAAACATCACTAACGGACCGACCAGCAAGGGAATCCCATCCGCTGCGCCTCTTCCCCTCACCTTGGTACAGACGTAACATCGCGTGGCTTTGTTAACACCAAGAGAAACCTACACTTATAATCCTGTCTCTCGTCTCTACGGAGAAAAAGACACCATAATCACCACCACACACGACCATGTTGGCCAGAATCTCTACGTCGCTCGTTGCGACTCTGCTGCTCTCATCGACTACTCTCGCTGCGCCTACACAAACACATTGTCGCTGCGAAATCGTTGCTGATATGCCGTCTTCATCCGTTCCCGCTTCTGCTGCCTACACACCCTCCGCCGCACATTGGTCACCAGCAGACCCTTCGCAAAGTCCTGTCGCAGCACTCAATGTATGCGCAAGCCTAGGATCGGAATTACAGAAACTGCAACACACAGAGCCGGAGCTGTATGACTCGTATATGGCGGGTGCTATCAAGGATGCGCCGCAGAAGCCGGTACCAACCGCGGTGCTGATGAACAGTCATGGAGAGGAACAGTCAACGTCAAGTCCGCATAGGAGAATTGTGTGTCATGCAGAATCGATATTGTCTACTCCAGAGTTTCATAGCTCGTTTGTGGGGCTGTGGGCGCTGCAGATGATTGTTGTGGTTGCGATATTGGCTTGTGTTGCTGAGGGTTTGCATTTGGGTAAACAATGGTAAGACACCTTGACACCTCTTCACTATTTCTCGTATACTAACGGTATCTCCAGGATGAAGAACAACAGCTCTCCTGAGCCAGTATCCGAGAAGAGCAGCCTGCGCTTGACTGGTGCAGAAAGGCGTCTCCTAGCCATTCCCACTGGTCCCCAGGAAGCAGATTCAGTGTTCAGCCCAGGCGCAGAGAAGAAGCTACGAGCGTACGAGACGACACGATACTTTGTCACACAGGCATCGAGTGGACGGAGAGAGTTCATTGCGTATGACGATGATAGTGATGATGAGGCGAACAGGCCTGTGATGTAGTGTTACCCACATCACGGCTTTGATTGAATGAATGTATTATGTTCCCCTTCCACTACCTGTCCACCGTGCATGCATGTTCCAGCGATGCGAAGGCGCCGTGGTAGTGTGGTTCGATGCCACAACATTTCGTCCAAGCACACAACAGCGCCTTATCTTTCCCCGCATGTCGTGGGGTTTCACCCACCATGACACTTGCGCAAACCAACGTTGGCCTACAACATGCCCGGCACCTCGTGGTTTTACCCACGAGTACAAATGACAGTGTCTGGGTTACAGAGCGTCGGTGTCTTTCCCCCATCGTCCCTCCTTCCTCTTTCGTCCCTGCCACCACCCACCACGAAGGTATCGTACAACAAAACTCGCGATGAAACATCGCAGAACAAGAAGAGCAAACGCTCAACAGAACAGTAAAGCAAATGGGTATCGTGAAATAAGACCAAGAACGCTAAAGCAAGCAGTCTACATACAAGTCACCCGAACGATGCATCGATCCAATTGTGGCAGGGTGCAAACGGTCGAGCCAGGTAGTGGGCGCAAGGATGCATGGCCGCAGTGGAAGAAAGTGTCGCGATCGGAAACACATGGAAGCATCCACTCATACCTACCTGAAATGGAAGAAAAGTAATATACAAACAGCGGGGGTATCGCAAGGGTAAAAGAGGAATTAGTGTTGTTGCTTGGTATGGTATTGTCGCATGGAAGATTAGGTGTCGCTCGGGTTGTCGCTATGGGCATCTCGATAGATGTCATTATTAGGCGGAATTGGGTCCTGGTATGGGTCCAGATATCGGTACAAGTCATCGTGACAGGTCATCGCAGTGGGCTGATCGCAGCTGGGGGGTATCGTAATGGGACAAGGTCGCAGAAGGGGATGTGGTCGCTGGCAGAGCATTCCAGATGGATGCCAGTATTAATGGTTTGTTTATCGCAGTAGGCAATGGGATGGTCGCTAGGGTATCGCGCGGGGTATCGTAGTCGTAGTATGGTAGTGTCGCGGTAGGCCAGGGTCCACATTTCACATCACCGGGATGCTGAGAACCGAGGAGTCTAGGTGGAAGCCGTACATTAGAGTTCGTATCGAGGACAGTACTGTGGATACAGTCGTACAGGGGAGGACCAGAACATGGTCTCCAGGAATGGCGCGCTAAAAAGAAACAGGAACAGGATGTCGAACGCCGTAGAGGAATGCCGTATCCAGGAAAAGCGCTAATGTCATGTCGTAATTATATCGTAGAAAGGACAGAATTTTGGTTGAGGGGAGCCGCGAGGTTCCGCCCCATGGTCGGTAGAGGTTGACAAGGTTGGCTCACATGATGGTGTGGTAACCCTTATCGTTCATGACGTCAATCCAGAACGCGTCTTGGCCCTCATCAGACTGGCGCCAGGTCTCCTTGATGAGCTGGATCATCTTGCGAAGAGGCTTGTTGGGAAGCCTAAGAGCGAACTCTTGCAAGCGCCTGATGACAAACTCACGAGCGGCGACGACCTCTGCATCATTGGCCTGCACGTCGAAGAAGTCAATCGAAGAGACGAACTTCAACTCAGAGGCACACACAACAAGCAGAAGCGGCTGGATACAGAATGTACCCGACGAGGAAGGCAGAGACTCGAGTGACCGGATGATGTGCATGGCAAGTGAGTTGAGCCACAGCTTTATGTCGGTAGCCTCGTAGACAGTCTCGAATCGCGGCGTAGGGAAGGCGAACTCGATGTTCTCGCTACCCTTGGTCTTGCCGGATCCCAAGCGCTTGCGTAGGATGGAGGGGAAGACACGGTAGATCTCCAATAAGCCAGACAGACGGTAGGCCTCGGCGATGGTGACGAAGTGTTCCTTGGGGGTACGCTCATCACCAGTGTCAATGACCTGATTAACTGATGGGTAGTCAACAGCTAGGAGGTCCTCTTCCAGTGAGGCGGCGTTCTGAAGGTTCTCTTGTCGTCGACGGAGGTCCATAGAGTTTTCGCGGTCCATCGAGCGCTCCTTGCGAACTAGACGACCAACCTCGGCGAACAAGAAGTGAATCATCGGGGCGATGCCTGTCCATGGATGAGGGACTGTCTTTCCCTGCGGCCCACGCGCAGCAGGAGTGTTCGTCCTGGCGGTGATGCTAGGTCGCAGTCCTGACTTGGGCGAGAAGCTCATGGCATCTTCTGTTACGAAGCCCATGAGCATCTCCCAGTGGATCAAAGACTCCTCAAAGAACTGTGCCTCGCGCTCGACTTCAATGCCGCCCGACCTACTAAAAAGCTTGGGGAGGATGAGGTCTCGCGCGATAGACAAGTACTCGAGTCCGAGCGCGTTGCTGTCGTGCCATGAGGTGGTGAGACCAAGTAGCATGATGCTCAAGAACGTCTTGGTCGCGCTTGTGTGATCCCTCTGAGCAAGTGGAAGCTCCAGCTCCAATGCCTCGCGCGCCTTGCGCTGTAGCTCAAGGCCGGTTGCCGCCATGTTGGGGAATGTGTTGGCAAGATGTGCGGCAGCCATGGATTGGATCGCGTAATTAATGGAAGGGCAGTCCTTGTAGATGCGGCCAATGGTAGTCCGGAAGGGGTTAAGAACAGAATCGAAAGAAGAAAACACAGCGCAGACGTCCTTGAAGTAATGCTGAACGAGCAGTGACTCGACATCATCCGGGGAGGATGGGTCTGGAGAAGGACTTGGAAGACGATACAAGTCAAGAAGCAACGAACGCGAGAGCCTGGGGCTAGACTCTCGGTTCTGTTCCCGATCCATAACAGGTAACGAAGTAGAACTCATGTCTTGCTTCTGTGAAAGGTCTTGCATGTCAAACTGAAGGTCTTCCAGCGAGCCAGAGTCGAAGTCGATGTTGTCGAATGGATCAAAGCTGAAGTCTTCGTTGGGCATTTGGATAGCGTCAGCGAATCCATCAAGCATGATGGGGTCCATGTTGTTGACATCCTCCATGGGGAAAGGCTCGTACTCGCGAGGGGAATCACCATCCTCGGTAGAGGACTCTTGTATGGAGGCTGGTTCCTCAAAGCTTGGTGGAGAGGGGACTGCTGATGAGGCCTGTGTTGTCAAGGGTTGCTGTGTGGGAGGGGAGTTCTTCCTGCCTGCAGGGAGGACGGCAGCCAACGCAGCCTCGATACCACTGGCGACGTTCTGGGGAAGGGGTGACTTCGCGGCCGGTGAAGTGGTAGAGGTGGCGTCGGGTGTTGACCTGGGTCTAGGGGACGCTGACTTGGACTGGGCGGGGTTGAAGACTTCGTACTTTGTCGACCACTTCAGAGTCTTCTCGTAGCCAGGACACGCGACGTTCCTTTTCTTGCACTGCAAGCAACCAGGAGCGGTCTCGTCACATTTGAGCTTTGTTTTTGTCAGCAAGTGGGCCAGTGCAGTAGGCGCAATCGTTGGACTTTACCCTCTTGAGTTTGCATCGACCACATCCGTTCCTGGACTTGGTCTTCTTAGCCTTCAGATCTCTCGCCAAAACCTTGTCTTGAGCCAATGCGGGCATCTTGAGTATCAGGGTAGGGTAGACTTGGTTGGGGGGGCGAGGTCTGGGAATGTCGAACGACAATGGGGTGAGAATCCCGGTGCGAAGTAATAGGACTTAAGATGCGGATCCAGTGAATGCGGATACGACGCTTCAAATGCGCGTGACGGGTCAGTGACACAGCCGATGGTTCCCTTCGCCTATCATTAGACCGGTGTGGGCCAAGATAGCAGCTGATAAAAACATGTCGCTGGTGTGGTTGATGCAGGGTGTCTGAGCCTGGATGCCGAGCTTCGGCCTTTCAACAACCCAGCTTTCCCCGAAGTATCCATATCGTGCATCAGCGTGCGGCTGATTGGCCAGCCACCGCAGTCGAGCGTCGCATTTTCGCTCTTTAAACCCCTCTATGGGAGGACGCCCGCTCAGCGGAAAAGTTGGACACGCGATTGATAGATTATCCGCATCGCCTGAAACTATCATCAGTGGCGGGCTCGTAAAGAAGGTTATAGCCAAAAAAGCATCATGAGGATGTTGAGAGTCTGGAGATAAGGCAGATCAACGGCTACCCCACAATCATCCAGAAGTGGGATGAAAGAAGTGGATTTGATAACTATGTATAGTTAGCGCCAGACCTTAGTGCCGCTAGTAGCATCATCTTGCTTCACGATAACCTCAGCCCAAGATAAAGCCACGTCTGCACGCATGCCCCATGACGATGTCGGAGCGTCAACCAACGCAGCGTCTAGGCCTGCTCATATCAGCGCATGCAGTTATCGGCACGACTATCTAGAGATCCGACTCTGAGCGACCGCCTCGAACGAAGCGACCTATCACATGAGCTTCGCAAGGTCCTCGTAACACGGTATAAGCCATGAAGACATTGAAACCGTTATCTTCCATGAGGCGGCTCTGCTTCGATCGGCAGTTACCAAAGGCGCTACTGCACTGCTTGTCGAGCGCTGCCCTTGCTAAGCAGTGCCATGCCACCGGGCCTGGTCAAGCAATTGGCTGTCGCTAGTGGCATCGAGACGAGGCACACGTCGAACTTCCATAGAGGCTGGATGCCAACATCCTTCCAGCGCATGGCTACCCCGCAAAGTCAATACGAGAGACGTAAGAACAACAACCGTGTCACCGCTGAAATTCTGGGGTAAGAATCCGGGGCCGATGCATCCAAAAGTGCGCGATGTGTAATGCCAAGCTCAAGACCGCGACTTCACATCTGGGGAAATGCTGAGCTAGGAGAAGATACGATGTCGGAGATGCACGCAGTGGGTGGACCGTTCACCGACAGGCGACAGGGTCTATCCCGACGGAAAATTCTTCACGAACACCACAACCATCGGAAAGTTCAACGGCTGCTGTTTTCCGCCACCCACACGACTCCACATTGCGAATGCGAACGACAGCACGGAATGTAATCCGAACACAGTTTCGATAGAATGCGATAAGCCTAGATTGCCACTACTGCGCGTCTACTGTACGACATCGATGAGTTTAATCGTGGTGGCTCAACCTTGACTGCTGTCAGAGAATGTCAGT